AAACCTTAAAAATAAATGTGAATAACAACAGTGCAAATTACTTTTAAAATAATTAAAAAAAATAAAAAAAAAAATAATAATACCTTGTAAGTTCATCAACTTTAATAATAAGATCATCTTTAACAATATTGAGAGCATTTTTCGTGGCCAATAGTTCAGTATTTTCTTTAATGAGATTTTCAACTTCCTTTCCCATACCTTTAAATTGTTAAATAAAAATAAAAAGTTAGTATAAATTAAAATATAAAATCAAGAAATTGTTAGTTGATGTTAGTCTTACCGAAAAAGTTATCATTAACTGTTTTATGATTTCAGACGGACACAAGAGCATATTGTTTGAGTTACAGCAGCAAAAACATACGAAATAAGTTATATTTAGTTAAATATAATTTGTTATATTAAACAAAAGTTTTATATACAAAAAACTTTTTAAGTATTAGTCTTATATAACATTAATGCATAAATTGAAGGTTAATTATTAGGGAACAGGTTTAAGACATTAGTTTATTTTCTCGTTCCCTAATAAATAATAATGAGTGTTTTTTTTAAAACGAATTTAAAAGGACGCAACACCACATATTTTGTGTCTATCTTACAAGTATGTAACATAGCAAATTTATGCTAAGCAGATCACGTTTAACTCTGTTAGTTTAAAAATTAGAGTAAATTGACCTATTAAAAAACTTGATGTTAAGAACATCATTTGTGTTTGTAAGTGGGTTTTTTTACAATAACTTAGTTTTTAGTGAGTTATGAGAATTTTTTAATTTATGCTTTTTTTATATACGCGTAACTTGCTACAAAATTGAACCATCATAAAAACCCACATACAAACACAAATAATATTCTTAACATCAGGTTTCAGAATAGATCAATTCACTCTAATTTTGAAACTAATGGAGCTAAAAGTGATCTGCTGAGTGTAAATTTACCATGTTATGCACTTGTAAGACGGAGACAACAAATGGTTGTGTAACTTCTTTTTAAAAATAATTTTTAATTTTATACATGCGAGAAAGCTAAATAATATGGCGMAATCATTTAAGTAAAACAATTTAATTATAAGTATAAATATAGTATTTGATACATTGAGAGAAAAGTAATATACACAAATAGGTTGATGATTGGTATTAAAATTAAAAAAGTTTCTAAATTGTTATTACAAAAAGTGTAAAACTAAAAGGAGTACCTAGTTGAACGCACATGTTTAAGTAAATTAGCTTCCAAAATATTATTAATTAATCCAATTATATTTTAATTTAATACTTTTACTTGAAATAAAATATTAAATTATTTCTCTTTGGTAATACAAATAGTTTTTTACCAACTCAAATACATACAGCATCAATAATATTGCTTTTCCATTTCCAAAGTATAATGAATTCATGGCATGGTAGTTTTTTATGCATGCAAAATAAGATATTTGTTTATAATTCACTAAAGTTATAATAGCTTAGCTTTCTGAGACTGAGCTTTGGGTGGCTCATCAACCAAGTGTAAAATGATTGGACATGCTTAATGAAAAAAATTTCGTAGACAAAACTAGTTGCATTTTTAAAATCTATATGAATTTAATTTTTTTGTTTTGTTTTTTACATACACAAGCATGAATTAAAAGTTATGTAAAATAGAAACTAGAAGAGATTTCATACCTATCAAGAGTGAAGTTTCTGGTTCAGTCTCACTGCTGACTGTCGATGAAAAATTATGTAAAAAAGAACATGCAAAAAAATAATAATAACAATAAATGCTGAGCGTTCTAAATAAAGTATAATTTTTAAAAAGCAGAACTARAAAGGCCTTAAAAATAAGTTTTCATTTAATCAAAGCATAGAACAATAACGATAATATTTCATACCAGATGAAGCATAATCTCCAGGATGTACCCAATTTCCTGAAACACATATAAGACTGTAAAATTGTAAAATTGTTAAAATAATAATATATTAAAATTGTAAAATATATATTTATAAATAAATTGGGAAAATCAAAAAATAATTTATTAATAAATTACAATTCAAAAATTAAACTAAATTAAGGATGAAAACAAAACAATTTAATAATATAGTGCCTACCAGTAATTTCTGGTACTTCTTCTGAGTCAATTTGCACCTCATGGTCTTGGAAGCTGAATTCTTGATATAAAACATTAGTGGCAGGTCTCTGTTCTCTACAAAATTAGTATAAATTGAATGAAATATAATTTTGGTCAAATATTTTTATTTAATGTTACTCAATATTACCTTTGTGTATGACTACGTCCACTAAGTGACATGACTGAATTTTTGGGAGTCGCTTCTATTTCTTCTACTATTTCTGGGACTTCATCAGGGCTGCTGTCATCAGCTTTACTTATWGAATTTAAAGTTTCAGACCAACCTCTTTCAGATATTTGATCAACACGTAAACGTGATTCTGCCTCAGAAGTTTCAAGTTCCTACAGTGAATTAATAAAATTATTAAGAAAATAGTGGTTAAGTAAATATCAAAGTTCAATCAAATATTAAACTTTCTCCTCCCACCAAATTCCAGATACTAGCCACTTAAAGTCACTATATTATACATGCTTCTCATTTTATGATATATTATTATGTGTTAACAATTAAATTAAAGTTTGTGACAGTTAAAAATATTATATTTTCATTRCTTATAATACTATAAATTTAAAATCTATAACTGAAATATATTTATGATTAAAAAAAAAAACCATATTAAGTATGTCTTATTACTTACTTGGTTTTGTAATTCATTTTTCAGACTAGAATTGGAATGCATACTTCCTGGTGGAGAATTAGATATAACTAATGGATATTCATTGGATCCATCAATAGACTTTAGGGTAGAAGGACTCTCAAGGGAACTAAACCCAAATGAAACTGGTCCAGAAGATCTGAATAAGAAAATAATGGTATTAGTTGWRGTAAATTAAATATTTGTAGACGTTTTGATTATACCGATTCATATGTGCCATGCTCATAAAAGGCATACGTATACTTCTAGGATTATCCATTCGATCACCGGAACCCATTAAAATTTTTGTACGCTCTATGTGATCCATGTGTGTTTTAAATAATTCTGTATATCGTTCATGTAATTTTGTGTACTCTTGTTTCATATCTTGTTCTTTTTCTTCTAATCTATAAACTAATATCAGAAACATATATAAGTTAAATTTCTTTCAATGTTTAATTTTAATGTTATACAATATTAAAATTGCAAGTCAAAATAATATGCATCTTAGTTAAAACTAACTTTGTTTAGTTTGATAATTAAATGCTTTCATTGAAAAGTGTAAATATATAAATTTAAAACAGAATATTATAAGAAGCTTTAAGGGCATAGACAGACTTAGTGAGATAAACAAAAAATACCTCCTAAACCAAATTTTTCCTATTATAGTATTACTATTTTAGTAACAGTTTTTAATTATTTTATTTATAATAYCTCAAATCAAAGGTTTTAATACTTTTTATTCTAGGATTTGGGACAAAATTAAATATAAATAAATAATTTTTAATTATTGTAATATATATATTAAATTATAATACTTGATACATAACGGGTGCATACAATGACAATTTGAGAGATTCATATTTTTAGATTATTCATCCTCCTTCTGAGAGCCGTTTAAAATTTATTTTATGGGCTACAATTTTGGGAGACCCCTGCCTTAAATGACTAATTTCTCTGGATGAGAATCTTTACATTATAGATATTTATAGAATTACAGCCAGGGTCTTCTTTTACAAATAATTCTCATATATACATAAAATGTTACACTAAAACACGAAAATCAGGTAAATAGCGACAATCTTTAGATACTGTTTTCCTACCCGAGTATACTGAACATATTGTTAATTCCAAGCATTAAGCATTTACCAACATTTAAATACTTAAATAAATAGCTTTATGAATGAGTTGAAATTTATCAATGCCCATAGTTATTATTTATCAGTGGTCAAATTAAGTTGTAACCACAATTTTTTAATTTTAAACTAATTATAAGAACAATATTMAAACAGTTTTAGTTTTTTAAATGTCAATTTGATTCTTATAATTGATTATTTTATATACAAATATGCAAAAATGAAATTATATAGAGAAAAATTGGTTTTAATACTTCTCTATCCCTATATTTGAGTACAAATGTCTAACYTAACCTGTAAAAGAGGCACAGGTTTGAAAATGTTTAACTTTTTTGCTTATTACTTATATACTATATTTTTTTAATTAACAAATTTAAGCTAGTTAAACTATTTTTATTTTATCTAACCTCTT